GGGATGCCGTGGACTGGCATCAGCAAACTTAAACTCATCAAGCCCGTGTGGCAAGGTGTCAAACGTAATTTACACAAAATGTTGGCGAATTAAAAATACAATCAAAGGAAAGGAAATTGCTTCACAATGGCAATCTAATATGTGTAACAAAAATACAATTTCATATTAATTTTAGAGATTAAATGTCATATTAATTAATTAGTTCAAAGGTACCTTCGATCGGAACAAAAAACTTTGAGAAACGAATTTCTTTTGCACTCGCCCAAGGACATGCAATTCTGGGTTACCATCATTATTTCGTTACACGCAAACCTTATTCTTAGGATGGTAAGTAGGCTAAGTTTATTTTAGGTTATGTAACAAGGTCTGAATAAAATTAACATGAAACAAACATTTTGGCTTCTCGTTCGATAAAGCAAAACGTCTGCTTGATATTTTTGCAGTACAAGTTTGAGGTGCGAGTTAACGGTAAAACAAACAGATACGATTACCCGTCGTATTGAAAACCGATGACAACTACCCATAAGAAACGAGCATTGCCAATGTTGTGATTATCCAGCACATAGCGATACGAGTATTGCAAATCTTGTTATCTGCGAAATTGACTCACTTTATCCAGCACATAGCGATACGAGTATTGCAAATCTTGTTATCTGCGAAATTGACTCGATTTTCTCCCACAACGAAATGTCAAACCGTTGTTATCTTGACTGTTTATTGCTACTATTACTATGTGGTGCAACGCAATTAATTTGGTAAACTATAAAGAATTGGGCTTTCAAGGACTGCACTGTGTGGCTTTGTATCCACATTATCTGTATATGACGTTTCGGCCGTACAGCCTCATGCATGTTCGCTTTAATGCGAATGCAAGGCATTGCCCGTTGGAAGAATTGCTAACCTTCGAATCGCCCCATCTTCAAACATTACTGATCAGATCATGGTTACGGAATTTCCGATTATTTATGTTGGGATATTTTAAAAACCAAAGAGGTGATATATCAAAAACGTTTGTTTATAAAAGGAATTGAAGGATGGATTTTGGTGATCGACTACAAGACCAAATTAAGTCAGGGTATCTTTTTGGGCAATATCCTTACCATGCATGTGTCAACCATAACTGCTTGGGGGCATGAATAGTTACTTAATCAGCCCTAGTAAGTTCAATCCCCAATCTTTGGTTTATAAAAAGTTCACTTGCAATTACCAAATTGCGAAAAGATTGAAAAAGATTGAAAAAGATTGAAAAAGATTGAAAAAGATCGGTTTATATTTACATAACCCTGTCCAAGGTGTGAATCTGAATGTGGAGAGGGCGTAATGGCTCGAGTACTCGATAGTGTGGATTGTAGTTTTATTATGTCATGGTAAACAGAATAAGATTGGTAATGAATGGAGAGGCAAATTGCTTTATCGACCAAGTACCGGCTAGAATAAGCAATTACGTAATTCCCATTTTAGGATTAGGTTGGAATTTCTGTTCGCAGGCAAATCATAATCAGACAACAACAATAAATCAAACAATTAAAAACGCGCGAGTAATTTCTGAATGTGAGAAAAAGTATTGCGATGGGCGGTATAACGTCATTTTCTTTCTTTTCCCCCCCTGCATTTTGTTCCATAAATTAGGACTATTATCTTCTTCTCTTTCTTTATTGTCCAAATTTGACATGTAACTGTTTATTTGTTGCTTGCAGATCGAGAAATTCAGAGAAAAAAGGGGTGGGGGGACTGGACTGGACTGGAGCACACATCTCCATTGTTTGAGATGCGAATTAGTGTGTTGCGTAAAAAAAAGCTACGGTATTGCGTAATTGTAAAAACCTTTTTGACACTTTGATTTCAGAATCGGGACTTGTCGGAAAGTTCTTGCATGAATCAATAATTACTGATAACAATAATAGGAATAATAATGGCAATGATATGTGACTTGTACGGATGTGTTGATAATAATCTCAATGTGTTACCGTGATAAGAAGAAATTCATCGACTGGGGAACAGAGAATTCGGTAACGATGAACCCACCAATCATGCAATTGTCTTTTTGTTAAACATTTTTGTTGTGGATCAAAATGGGGGTGTTCCGGGGTGGGGGAAGGGGGAGAAAGGGGGTGTGTGCGGTGTAGTGTGGTGTGTAGTGTGGTGTGTAGTGTGGTGTGGTGTGTGGACCGATAGAAAAGTTGTTTGACGGGTAAAAAAGTTCAATTATGCAAAGGAGAAAAATCATCCATTCTGTTTTGGGGACCGATCTGAATAGTGGAATCGAATATTCGCCCGAGAATTTGGTCGGTAAACAAATGCAATGATTGCATTTTTGTTTATCTTGGTTTTTTTGGTACATTTTCATTTTGCCTCTAGCAGAGTTGTCGATTCACAAGTTTTGCTTTTTGAAAAGCATATGGTTTGATCAATTCTATAAACAAAAGAGTTACACTCGTTCCATGCGATACTATTTTAATTTAGACTACATGACTTCGATCTGCCATACCAAATGAACACATGGGCTCTCTGCATTCAATCGCTCTCGTGGGTAACGTGGCTTGCTTTATTTAGCGGTTACATTCACGGGTATCAATCGCTATGCATAACGGACAAAGGGGTAATGCGGAACGGGGTGCGTGGTATGGATAATATGAATATCAACATGATACACGATGCGTATATATGATGTGGCATGTGTGGTGGATGGATACGCAAAATAATTTAGTTTGAACAAAAATAATATTCCCCGTTTTTCTGTGACATATTGTGTGACAAGTTAAAACCCAATTATCAGTCATCTTCCTTGCATTTCTTTTTATCCTCGTGGAATTGGGACTTGCCGCCGTGCATCTTAATAGATATACATTACTTTGATACATAGAATGAGTTCAATTAATAGAATCCCGTTGTGACATGGAGTCACTGATTGACAATATGAATAAATAAATGATTCAATTTTTAAAACGTTGTGTCTACGAAAACGTCTGTTGTGATGAGCAATGAATGACAATAACGCATCTTCATGTGGTAACAACTGTAATTGGTAGACAAGACTGGGAAACTCATCCACTGTAACGGGAATGGGCGGAGGGGGAACAGCGTGAATATATGTTTGGAGAAGAAAACATGGGAAACGGGTAAGATAATAATCCAAATGTCAACCCGTGTGCAAAAAAGCCGAGTCGCAGCATGCGTGCGTGTGCGTGTGTGTGTGTCGTGTGTGTGTCGTGTGCCGTGTGTGCCGTGTGTGCCGTGTGTGTCGTGTGTGCCGTGTGTGTCGTGTGTGTGTAAGAGAGAGAAGGCAATTGTGTTTATGTGTGGCTGCATGTATGTGCTGTTGTGTGCTCATGTTGTGTATGGTCTCTGTGTATGTGTTGCAACTAATTTTAGATAATATAAATAACGTTTTAACCAATTAGAGACAACTGGTAAATGATTCTGTATTCACGACGCAGTATATACAATGTAATAAGGTTTGCATAGTATATATGTGATGAGATGGGAGGTGAGGGGAAAGAGGGGGGAGAGGAGAGAGTGAAAAAATGGGGGAGAGGATGGAAAATAAGATATATATTTTTGTCCATGTGTTTTGATGTCTTTAAAAGTGTATAATATGCACATGTGGAGTGTGACACATTAGCAAGTAACAGTCAAATGTGATGCGAAATTAGGACGGATATTAATTTAATAGACCATTTAATTTACCATCCATCGCACATCATTAATCCTCCGTTTCCAACCCTCATGAGGGCTGATACACATATTCGAATCATTACCGTTACTTCATATTCGCTACTTTATTCGGAAACCCCATAGTCTCCTTGTATTTTTGTTTGATAATTGGTGTTGTAAAAATTATTGCGCATCCGTCTATGGATGATGCCAATTACGCTATTGGACAGTTTGTATGAGAACAGTTAATGAACTTGTAAAGAGATTGATTGATCTCTCTTTTCAATAAATCAATCTTTGGTGCAGGACTTTTTTCCCATCAAAGCTGTTTGTATCACATGTTAAATTTATCGTCGAAAAACTGGTACACTGTTCTCATTAGTTTATTTCTGATAATTACGTCTTTTGCGCAACTGAGATAATACAAATAAATATAAACACGATAATTCCAACCGGTAAATTTAATTTTTTTTTCCAAGTCACTTTCTATTTCCTCTTTTACTGCCCCGACCAATCACTTTTAAAATCTGTAAAACTCGATAATTTTTTTTTTTCCAAACAAAAAAAAAAAAAGTAAATGTAAATAATATCCGACTTGACGTAATCAACCAACCAAACATATCATCAACATTTCATTTTTAAGTACGCATGCTCGCATAATCCACAATCCACCCATTCAGACCAAATAGGAAGTGAGGATCTAATCCGACTGCGTACTGGATTAAATAATACTTTCTTAACTTAGCCTCACTCTTTTTTTATAATCTCCCGCTCTCTTCCTTTCGCGTTCTCTTTTTCAAGTAAGACAACTCTATTTTTAAACCCACATACCCACACATACTCACATACACCCCCACTCCCTTTCCCTTTTCCATTTCCGCTCACCCTCTTTCCTTTTACCCCAATACACACACATACACATACACATACACATATACATATACATATACATATACATAACACATATACACACACACATATACACACACACCCTCCCTCAAAAGTTGTCTATCCAACCCCTTTTATATCAATTTCCGTGCCCGCCTTTTATAACTACCCTTCCTGCCCTTTCTGCTTTTCTTTTTTTTCTCTCTTCTCTTTTTCCTTTTTCCCTTTTTTCCCTCCCCTCTCTCCCGCTTTCCTTTTTATTCCTCTCCTTCCTTTTTCCTCTTCGCCTTCCAAATCCATCATATAACCCACTCTTCTCTGTCTATGGCAACGACAACGTATCTCCCACTATTCTAGTCCTTCCTTTATATCACTTTGAAAAACAAAAATTATATATACATCGAACGGCACGGCATTAGAACGGTTCCGTTACCTGGCTAACGGATAGAAAACAAAATATGATTAAATTCGGACATTTCGATGTCTTATGTTATAGAGCTGTACTTCCTATATGTAATTTATTCAATAAAACAAATGCGACTCAATATAGACTAGAGGGCTTCTCGGTTGGAGATACGCAGATAACAAACCTAGGTAAGTTTGACCGGGAATGCAAGCGGCATGAGGGAAGAGAATTCCCGAGGAGGGAAGTTGTGAATTACAGTGGGTCGTGTTGCGTTAGGGTTGCGTTGCGTTAGGGTTGCGTTGCGCCCTCCGTTGCGTTGCGTTGCGTTCGCTGCTTGCATTTGCGCTGCGTTGCCCTGCGTTGTGTTGTGTAGAGTGTAGAGTAGGGTTATGTAATGTAATGTAGTAGTCTTCTATGGTATTGGTCAGAGAGATAAAAAGTCTTTTTCACCGTCATTACTCACATACTCTTTCCCTTTTCTTGCTAATGCATGCACAATTGCCACTCAATTCATCCGTATTCGGTAATTGGCAGGCGATGCATTGGTAGCATTCTTCGCCTTAGTATTCACAATATACATCATATTGAGAACACATATCAAATATGCGGCAGTAGGTATGGTAAAAGAATTTTAATATATCGGATAGGCCACTCCGTGCTGTTGTGTAACAATTAATGCTGATGACATCATTTTTTTTGTTAGGGCGACTGGAAATGATCGTTCTGTTTGCCGTCTACATCTTGCTATTAATAACACAGATCGTAACAACATCCGGTCTGCTTTTAAAAGACGTTGTGGTTTTAAAGGTATGGCAAGAATATTGAAAGTGGGGGAATAAGCAGAGAGTCGATAGGGTGATGAAGGGGGGTGAATAAGAGTAAGGAAGGTGGTTCGAGTCGACAAGCATAGAGCAATGGGATCGAATGCAAGTGTAGTCAAGGCAGCAGATATGTATATAGAGCGTGTATGACATTGCTCTTGCTCTTGCTTTTGCTCTTGCTCTTGCTTTTGCCTCAATCTTGTAATCAACGTCATTAGTGTTGGGAATTGGCGATCATTTGACGATTATTGCTATAACTCTGGTCATTGCTTTTTTTTTTTTTACAGTGGTTTACTGCCATACAGCTGGGCTTAATATCAACACTGGCATGGCTATTATTAATGAATGCGATTGTAGGTTTGTATCGTATCGTATCGTATATCGTATATCGTATCGAGATACTTTTCGTAACATACGACTCAACCTTGCAAGTTTGTTTGTTATAGGGTTTCAGACAATAGAAGATGGAACAGTATTCTCGGTCGGCGTAAGTATTTACAAATGACTTTTCGATTTAAAAAGAAACGTAATCCTGATTATTGTTATTATCTGTTTCTAGGGGATTTTGATGGGCGCAATGCTAATATTCGTGGCTGTTGGATACATTGCCATAGACACAGCATTTAATCTGACTGGTGCATTCGCGACAAGTTCTTCCGAGTTAAAAAACATACCATTATTTGTACTTTACTTAATATGGCCGCTGTTCGCAGTGGTTACCTATGTTGTATTAGAGACGGCATTAGTCCTCACAATGTTGGGTGAACGAAAGCCATTATGTGAGTATGACTTGTATTCTCACAATAAACTCGTTAGACGCGGTGGTGACTATAACGAATATACATATGATTATTGACGAGCAAATCGGTCAATAACAATTGTAAAATACTTTAATACTTTCATATTAATCATGTCAATCTCCTCTCTCGTTTTTTTTTTCCACCCATAAATTTCTTTCGCTTTTTACTGTTCAGTGCTCTTATACGCGTCGTTCTTGTGTTTCGCAATCGGACAAGTATTTATGTTTGTCATTAGCAAATACATAATGGACGGCACGTCAGGGAAAATAGACGGTTCGATGTTTGCAACATTATTTGTATTTTTATCCATATTCCTAGTATTTTATTACTGGTCGAGCATCACAGAAGGTAAGAAAGACAGAAAAGAAAACTGGCGTCGTTATAAATTATTTATTAACATCGATACGATCTTTTTAGACGATTATGAAGATTATGAGTTCTAATTGGAGGGGGGGAAAAACGAGCAAACCAAAATTCTACTTGACGTGAATCATTCTGTTCTTCTTACGTTCTTCTTGTTTCATATTTACGTACACATATTCTCGCTCAAACCAAAAAAAAAATTTATTTTTTTAATTCCCTTATACAAACAACGCTTATTACTATTATTTACTATACTATTATTATTTATTATCGCTTCATCACTGTTACCATTTCAACCTTCTCTCTCATTTACAACATCATCTTTAAACTAATATCAAGCTAGATAACAGCAGACGACTCATATATTTACAGATTCCTATTATTCTGAGGATGATTATTCTAATTAACAAAACATTGTAGATATATTTGTACTATTTGTTTTTTTTTATTACTTTTGTCTTCCTTTTCTCCTTTTTAATTATTCTCTTCGTTAAAATGTTTTTGTAATTGGCGGGCTCTTTATTAGACTACAATTTAGCATTAGCGATGGAAAAAAAAGAATAAACCATGAATTTCAACGTTCTGCAGTCACAAGGAAGAGAGTGACGGAAAGGATAGTCAAAGAAGATGACAAAGCAAATCTTTTGTTGACTATGTTGTCCTTTCTGTTTATCTTGACCTTTTGTTGACGCGACAACGAAAGATACTGTGTGTAACGTTGTAAGGCACAAGCATAGATAGATAATAACCCAACATCTAATGTTCATCCATCATCTATCATCTAGATCGATGGGTATATTAAAGCACACCTTTCCTTCTCTCCTCAACAAACGAGGCGCAGTGAACCAACGTGTGACTGGATTTGAACTGTGATTGCAATACATTGACCAAAATTCCATTACCTTCTCCATAATAGTCATTATAGTAATTCATTACTGACGAATGGTGTACATGCTGTGTAACAACTAACGATAACAATGAGTGTTCAATCGGAGGTATCAGCTAAATAAAGAATGACAATAGGCGATAATAATAACAAGATTTCGCTCGTGCAACATAAACAAATCTAGGCCGGTGTTAGCGTTTTCGGGAATACAATAATGTCCAGAAATAAACACTACAACACATTCCATTTTACAATGATGGGAAAGAAAAACCATCCTCCACTCTTTTCTTTTTGTGCGCTAAATTTAATTTCGAACAAACAAAAATTACGTGTGTGCGTTGTCAACAACGACTTAATCTTGACATGGTGAAACGAACATGCAACTTTATCTAATGAATCTCTCATGGAACACTGCCATTGATGTATAGGTAACACGGGTAAACTCGTATTCAGAAAAAAAGGGCCCTTGTGCGTAAAGATAGTAAAGGCTAACTGGTTTGGTTACCAGGATTCAAAAAAAAAATTCTTTTTTTCTTGGTCATCCCACCCCCCCCAGACTCTTAACACAAGACTTGTCACTTTGTTTATTGAATCCACAAAGATTGAGTTTTATTATTATGGGAAAAAACGAACAATCAATTTTTTTTGGCGCGATATGCAGAACTTTAAATCTTTACTACTCAGTACTGAATATATTTCTCACGAGTCACAAATCTAATCTATTTGTTGTTAGGCTTATATGGATGGAAATAACAGGTAAATGAACAAATAGGGTAAATAGTCTAGATATTTCAGACGATATTTATCACATTTCTATTCGCAATATATTACGTAAACTCTTTGCAGTGACTGTTTGTTCTTTCACAGTGTTGAGTGTTGATTTTTTTTTTCCTGCTCAACTAAAAAAGAACGTTATTTACGTTATCAAAGATATCTGTTCTGTCGTACAATATAATGTCATACATGTGCGAAAAAAAAAATCCGTTATCGGGTAAAATAATAAACTTACAAATGTGATGACGTTGGCTCCATAGATAACGCGTGTGTGACATTCCGAAGTAATTTATCAATCTGTAGAAAAAAAATCTACCCAGAGGCTGGATCGATTGTATTAACTAAAAGAGGCAATGGCCGAGGCGCAGTCACACTGAAATGTATATTAATATCTGTGCTGCTGCGAGAATCAATATTTTAAGAGTCTTTAAATAGATACGCATATGTCTATTGTTTTTACAGAAAAGTTTATACATTGACATAAAAGAAAAGAGGGGGGGGGGGGTGTTTTAAGGTATGTTTATTGTATGTCATAATCACACGAAAAAAAAAAAGTTTCTATTTATTTTCACCCTCCCCCGGTATAGAATGGCACCAACAACAGTTTCATTGTATTCGAGATATTAATATCCAGATTATCTTAAATTAGCCTACGCCCACACAGTTTTCTATAAATACATATCGATAGCATGTTTGTACATACACCATGTTTAATGGTTGTGTTCATCGAAGGAGGAGGGGGGGAACTTCCGTTGTAAGCCAATTAATCAACCAGTACGTTACATTACAAGTCATTCAGTGTTCATCACTGCTTACAATCTTGTACTATTTGGATGTGACTAGAACGTTTACGTTTATTTGATGCAGATCAATGAAGTAACAATCAGCATTAGCCTCTAATTCGCTCGTCATCTTACATCGTGCACCAATAGACTACCGTAGATTAAGTATGCGGGAATACCAAAAGTGCATACTAGCGTTCAATCCCCCTTGAAGTAGACTTGAACATTTCAATCTCAATTTAATGTAGCATGATTATTAGTGGGTGTCGGAATATTGCTCTACGTCGCCATCGGGATAGAGTAAAAGAGGGCGGTGTGTGCGTTAATGGTTCTAAGACATTGATTGGTATGGGTCGTAGACTTTGGTATTGTCTCATCCTCAGACTCGATACGTCAAATTGTTAATCGCTCCTTTTTGTTGCGGTTACTCGTTCATTGATAAATAAACTGTCTATCGGTTTCACGCGCCCATATTTAGAATAACACTTATACCCCGTTTATATCACCCCTTTTGTATAGCCTAAAAAGTAGGGATATAAGCGTGGTGGGGATATAACAAAAGTGGGGCAGAGATGTAATGTTCATGTGATCATGCAAGCTAAAAATAATTGGTGTGGCCTAAACGTAAAGTCTTATTTTTCCTAATAATCTTTTTTTTTTTTGATCCATGGCCATTTCTCCGTTTCCCTCAAGAACTTTAATAACGTCTCAAAGCGGCACAAATTATTTCGCATTGGGCGGTAATTGATAACAAATCTTCATTCACCCAATATTAATAGGCTATCTAAACGGGAAGAAATCGCATTTGTATTTGGGTCCAAAGTCGATATGATGGGTTAGGAAGGCCGAATAAAAAATGACAAACACGTACATAATAGTAATAGGCACAAAGTGAGAAAAAATATGAAAACGAGAGACAGGTCAACCAAAACTCTTAATCTCAACTAACTGACTAACAAATTTTTATTACTCAAAACAAAATGAAAGGAATAAAAGTGGTTCCTTTGCATCTAGCCAAAATTATTTATCCAGTAGTCGTGCTATGCATATTTGTGGACTTGTAAATATATTATGCCAGATGTAACTAACAATAAAGTTAGCACGAGATAATAAGATTGTCTCTATATAAATAGTATAATGTGAAACTAATTTACATAAAATTCACTATGCAACAAAAAACTACAGCGCTATTGGAAAAAAAATTGTCATTACGTTAGAAACTCCTGACTATGAACTCGGTGAAAAAGATTTATTGAAGTGAGGTTATCAAAATGTTCACTATACGTGTAAATAGCATAAATGCTAAGCAAAGAGTAAGATACTATTGATATAGACTACAAAGACTTTACTAATTACGAATAAAAACTATTAGTTTGATGGGTAACTTTATATTTTGAGAGTTGAATTGTTTTTGTGCTAAATGTTTCTATTATAGTCAAAAATATTTGCAAGATATTGTCTGTTATCAAGAACACGTAAAAAATGTTTCGCTAACCATTCAAAAAGAAATTACAGAAATACTTGTTAAAAAATTAAAAAATCTCGAAATAGAAAATTTAAACACTAAGCCTTTACCTTGCCCCAAAATCAATCTGAGACAAATTATTAATCAGAAAAGACAATTAATAATTGTTTTATTCTTACAAAACTTTACTTGTAACCAGTTTAGTATTTTAAAAAGACAATTACAGTGGTAGACAAAAGCCTCCGGACTGTTTGTACTTACATATAACTGGGCATAAATTTTTAGATGACCAATATAATAGTTATTAATATTTAATTGACCATTCCTCGTTCGTGATACACCCCTCTTCGACATACTTTCTATTAGATTTAGATATACACATTTCGGAATTTGCTCCTATTGTTATTCTTGCTTGGAGGATTGGCCTTTTGCTGTTGTTCGTATCACTTGATTGTATCACTTAATGGAATCTGAAAACTTTACAATGCTAAAGCTACTACTACATTTCCATAACTCGATAATTTTAGTTTGCTTAAATTTTGAAAGTTTTATTGTAATTTTATGTCAGTTGACATTGAAGCAGGTTTAGAAATAATGTTTGGAGAAACAAAGTACTGTAATTACTTGTTTATAATAAACAAGGCTTCGATTATAAACAAAGATCTACACATGATTTCTAGTTTTAATAAAATATACACTATCAGCAGCCATTTGAGCCGTGACAGTTCCAGGATTAGTTAAAAAATACTAAACTATATACTTTTGAAAATTTATTCAATTTTTAAAAAAATTTTCAATAAAGAGTTAATATCTTTGAGTCTTGATATAATGACACCATGCTCAGCATGACATTATAATTAGAATCTTTTCACTGCTTCATTTTATATTTAGATGACAGAGATAATAATAATAAATCTTACTCATCTGCTGACCAGAATGGGCACATAAACATCTGTGCCTGATTATAGTAATAACATTATGTCACAAAATAATTTTTTTTTTGTTCCACCAATCTCTTTTTAATTTAACCTAACCTTAACAAGATGCTTCTTGTATTCTTTCAATAATAATAATAATTGTTTGTTTTTCTTATAAACATTATATTGTATAAATATGGGGTTCACATCTCGTATATCCGAGGCAAGGGATATATTCTCCATCGGTCTTTGTAATATTTATAAATATAAACTATTAAATAAGAATTACAACGTTTCTAATTTAATCGCTACTTTTAATGGCCTACTACTTTTGTTAATATATATTTAATAATAAAATCACCGTTTCATTATGCGGACGAAGAAATGCCGTTTCTCACATAAAATATTAATATTCGTTATATATTATATCGTAAATATTATTTCGTTAGTAAAAGTTATTTTCTGCCGCCACATCAATATTTCTCTTTCCACTGTAATGCACCTGTTGGATTATCATCAAGAGTATCGCATTTCGCTTCATGTCTCTATCACACTCTATGGCTCTAGCTCCGATACTCTACTAACATTTTGGCATAGGTTTTCTCTCATTAACGAAATAATATTTTAACTTAAACAAAACAATAGCTTCGCAACGATAATAAATTTATAATAACTCGATCGAACGAGTATCAACCTTCTAACGAGTACATTAAACTCTCGGTGTTATACATCGTCTATACGACGAACGCCTTTTTTGTACTAAACATAAGGTCTTATAATCACAGTCTTTCCAAACTGAACACTTTTCATGCCTTCCTTGTTAGTCGTCAAGAGATTACGCCTAGGGTCAACTTGCTTATTAATCGGCGAAGAGCTTACATCAAAGTGTCAATCCAGAATATAATAATGATAACCGCGAATACTTCTCATGCTCGGCTTATTAGTCGACAAGAGATTATGTCTAAGGCAACTTGTTTATCGGTATCGAAAATAAAGAACAAAGACAATGATAACAATAATACAATCTATAATAATTTCAATAATTCATAAATAACGAATACAATATTTTATTACGAGAGATGAAGCCTCCCCAGGGAAGTAGTTCTGCTTTCAGTTTTACCCTTCAGCAGTAACAAACTTGCTTTTTTCGCCTGGAGGAAGAGTTGTTTATATAATGAAATTCATATCACTATTCGATCTCGTCACTTCTGTATTATTTCCCTTTCAGACTACAGACGTCTACTCGCGCATTATCACTATTTATGATCAAGTGACCAAGTTGATGTTCGAAATCTAAGTTATACGAATCATAAAATACATGCGTTTCGCCAACTTGTCACCCGATCCAAATACTCGAGGTGGAATTTTGACCAACTAATAGTTCCGTAGTAAACAGCAAAATCGGCTGTTCATAAATTCATCCTGGACAAACAGACAAATGTTGTGATAAAGGTATTCTTGTCACTTCAATTCCAGAGGAGGAGGTGCTAGCATTGCAAATGACAGGGCCTTGATTTTTTCTTTAGTTTTGAAGCCTCTGATTTGCCTATTTTTAACAGTTTAAATTCTTGGAAAGGTCCGTTGGCAATTCCTTGGGCTTTTACTACACTAGGATTAGCACTGGTAAAGAGGAAATGCTGAAATTTTTGCAGACCACACAACTTCTTGAAGTGGATTTCCAAACTACTCAGAATGTCAAAGTACTGGAAACCTTTGCTACCATTATAACACTGAGTTTTATTTAGTCTGGCAATGCTAGACCTTTCTAGACCTTTTCACCACATCTACAATGTGATCAACACAATCCACTGTGGTTTTGCATTAGAGTCTGATCAGACCAAAGCTACCATCACACTTGAATTTAGTGTGACCCAGAACCATGAAGTCAATTCAATGCTTTCATAATAATAATAACCAACAATTACCAGGTACAGGTAAAACCAAAGAGTGGTATTATTTTTTTTTGTCCACCTACATTGTCACAAGTGACTTTTAAATGCTTTTCACCTCTATTCAATTGCTTAATTCCATTGTTGAAGACTAAGCTAAGCATACTGTTTGGACCCTTTCTGAGAAGCTTGCTCTCATCCAGCACATAATTAATTTGCTCCTGTATCACTTCATCTTGGATACCAAATAAATGTACTTTGCAAGCACTAAGATAATACACCTTGCTGATTTGTTGATCTAAATGAGGCACATGGACATTTTGGGCACAGTCATAACTGTAATGGGCAACTGTATCAATGCTACAGTATGTGCCTTGCCCTTCAGTATAGAGTAATTCTGATCAATGTACAATGACTTTTCTTTGTTCATCTGCCAATTTAATATTTTTATAATAATAATTTCGCTCTAGTACTAGCTTGGCTTTGGTGAGATGCTCTTTATATCTCTTTAATATTAATAAATCCCAGGTCTCTTCTTCTTTATGAGCTTTGAATTGCAAGTCATTCTGCAAGTGTTGACAGGTATCACATAAATCAGTTCAGGGGCTCATGATTTGGATATGCAAAGTTAGCTGATGCCACGATTTACAAAACACATAATATTTTAATGTGCACAAAGTATTGTCTTCTTCTAGGCCAGCTAAAAAATCACAATGAATGAATTTATAGCTCATTTCCACTGGTAAAAAGATAATTAATTGAGTTACGCAATTAACATTTCTGACTGGACTAGGTAAACCATGGACTTCATAATTTAAGAAAAAATTTTTCACTGTATTATGTATATGTAGTAGCCACATCTTTATCAATATAAATAACCATCTTGGTTTTTCACTGTGGCATTTTTTTTCCATTACTATGAACCCTGGAAAGAAGGCAGATGATCTCATACATTCTCAAAATAAGCTTGACCAACTCCTTGCATATTCAAATAGGTTTTTTGACAAAGAGATGTATTGCAATCTCAGTAGTATAAAGTTCTTTTATTAATGCAACTTTCTTCTTAAAATGACAACTAGCACATATTAATATGAATCTACTATCCATGGCCTTGAGCTGGGCCATTAAATACTCAATGTCAATGTCTAATGTCCAAACTAGATGCATTTAATATTAACATTAATATTAAAGATGGGAATGTGCTTCCTTGGCTGAGTGTGCCATGGGGTATGGGGTACATGCAGACAAGGCATTCTGAATTCAAGATATATTAATATACTAATATGCAGGGTGGGCAAGAGGAAATGTAATGTACTGATAAGTGATCAGACAAAGCAGTCAGTGAAAGCATGCAGTATGTTTATCATAATCACAACTGCAGGTATGAAATGTCTATGTGTTATAATGATAATATGTATTTATTTCCATCATCATGCCCACTTTATTATAAAAGACTGTGTTTTGAAATCACAAATCAAATCAAACCAAACCAGTCTGAACCTCAGTTCATCAAACTGTATAACAGCTCTACCAGTGACCCCAAGGGAAAAATGGAATTTCATATCCAGAACATAGTGTCAACAATGCAGAAGTGTTAGACAAAGTGTTAGCCAGAGCAGATTTGCCATTACCAGTTATTCCTGAATTTGCAGGAGTGCAGTGACTTTTTCCAAACCACGGGAATCTCTCATACTGTTGCCTTGAATTTTTTCCCTTTCTTTCATTGAGCATACAATAGACATTGTACATTGATCATCTATTAGCAGAAAGATAATAATTAGGAATACAACTGTGCTGTTAAGCAATAAGCATTTTAATAAAAGGTATAACTTATCTTTTGGGACCGGTACTCGGCGACAACACTTTCCGAGCGTGGTAGTTTCTTTGCCTGTGTCTGTTTCTCATCAGACAAAAAGGCGATATGCTTGCAGATTTCATCAATATCTTCCACAGCAATCCTGCCTTCACATACTAATACAGTATCTTCGAACTTTGCTTTGCTTGCTTCATGAACGGTAGTCACTATGGTCATAGTGGCCATTGCATCGTTTGCATTGTTCAATGCCATGAGAGCGGTGACTTGTTGGCCCAACGATCTGGAGTCTCCCTGATCTCCCTTCAAATTTCGTCCCTTTTTGGTTTCGCAAACGGAGCCAGAGCCTTTTCCCTCATCGCCAATGCTGTTGTCTGAACACGGTGCAAATTATCAGCCAAATCAAACACAAAATGTAAACATAAATCCATCCATAAATGAACACGTACCACTCAAATCCAACTACATTAACATTAGCGTTGCATTCACCTTCAGAGCCTCCGCCGGGGCATGCCCGATCCTATTAACATCATGAGACGTATCTTTTGTAAATGCCGCCTAATCAGCAAACTCATTTCCTGGAACGCTTCTCGCACTTGCCGAGCCTGCCCAGTCGACCGCAGTTCGACCACACTGAATACATACGTACCCAGGAAAGGCAAGCGTGGTAAAATTGCAGTATAGGTAGGCAGGAAGCGGGAAAACGTTCCTCTTCGCCGAGCTGCCCACGTGGACCATAAACTACCACTCATCTGAAAAGTCTTGCAGATCAGGAATTTTAAGCGTGGTAATTACTGATCAGGCAGATGAAGATGGAAATAGAGATTGCATGTTTGGTGACCTCTTTGCTGCTCGTGATGTCGAAGTGCCCAAAGTGGGAAAGGATCATACTGGGAGTAGTGTGCCGGTTGGAAGGCATGCTTCTGGGTCGCCACGCAAGACGGGGGGCTAAGTGTATTAAATACATAAAATGGTTGAAATGACTATAGCTAATGTGCGGGCAACACGCCGAAAAATATGCAGTCCATCTCGTGTAACGCTCTCCCTCGTATGTAACCCGAAGCCCGCAAACAAAATTCTCAAGCGCACTCTATATCTTTAGTGTACATCTCGAAACTTCATGGAGCCAAAGATTCCAGGCGCTTTCAAAAACCACAAATTTAAACACAAGGCTTTCTTTAGGAACACGGAGGCGCGGCGGTGGTCGTTTGGCTGCTATTTGATTCTTTCCTCTACTCTGAAGGGCCGAGTACTTTTAACGAGATTGTTGACAACTGGACAAGCAGCCTCAGATTCATACAAGATTATCGCTATACCCCGTCTCCTATTAAAGAATTTGTTGGAGAATTACTGGAATATGATGAAGTGAGTCCTGCCTTCCATTTCATTATAAAAGAAGCGAAGTGAATCTGAGAGAACACCATTGACCGATCTCACAAATGTGGGTGTTGTGGGTCCGAACTCTGTCATTGTCACGCAACCGCCTTCCATTACCGACATCAGAGGATGGAGCACGGAACAGCTCATCAGGCACCTTCAAGCAAAATTCTTTGATGATTTGGACGATGAAGACCTCGAAATTTTGCAAAAGCAAAAGATTAAGGCCGTGCGTTCCTGACCCTGACAGAAGAAAAGCTCATGGTAGATGGCATGAAACGTGGACCTGCAAGTGTCATCGCTGGCTACATCGATGAATTAAAGGGTACGTGGTATTCGATTTTATTTATCGAGCGTCCTCGAGGTACGCGAATGTACCTGACGTGTGTCGGCTTCTATTATTTGATTGAATTTACTTAACGACAAATATTACTCACAGAGCGCTCCTCTACGCATCGAAAACGGAAGAATGAGAATGGAGGGAATGACGAGTGTAAGGAGATACATAATGTTTACAAGGGGGTTTGCAATTGACACTCGCTAGTTAAAAGTCAAATTGCAATTTCACACAAAACATTCTTTTATTCCGCACAACACATCATCATCCATCTCCACAATGAAAACCGCCCGCTGTCACTTTTCACCATCCTTCAGCATTATGGAGAGTATATTCAGGAGTTTGTGCCGAGCCTATGAATCGACCGAAGTCTGTTTTTATGTGGGGTCCTTCTAGGACTGGGAAGACGATCTGGGCCCGATCCCATGGCCGGCATATTTATTGGATGGAGAAGATGGATCTGGCCACATGGGATGACCAGGCACAATACATTGCATTGGATGATTTTCCGTGGGAGTTTATGCCGGGGAAGAAGAGTTTCCCTTTTGGCGGTAGTGCGCGAAACAGTGGGAGTTTACTCTGACCGAAAAATATGCACGGAAAGAAGACGGTCACGTGGGGACGTCCTTGTATTATATTGGCGATCGCTAATCACCACTTCTAGGCACCTATCAGTCCCCTCTGAATCTAAGATGTGAAACAACTAATTGAAACAGCAAAAGTCACCACAACAAGCCAACAGCTTGTTAAAGTTGAGAATCAATTTTTTCACCAAGGCATCCGGACCAAAGTCGTGCACGAAGGAAAACGGAATTATTTAGCTTCATAATTCTGGCCTGCCTTTATCTTGTCCAAAATTAATAATCTATGGTTTCGATGTCATTATTATTATCTAATTAGATATTAAATAATTCATACGATTAATAGAACTATGGCAGACTTCAAAGAAGGTTTCACAAGAGCTTTGGTATCTATGGTGCGAGTCACCTAAAGACCGAACAGTCCGAAATTTTTGTTCTGCAGATCATTAACAATCACATGACATTCGCCCAATAAAATGTTCTGAAATCACAATGAGGATTTATGGTTTTCGATCAAACTAATATTTTATTTTGGAAAATTATACTACTTGTCCAAACGCTTCAAATTTCGAATAAAGTAAAATTCGACTTTAATA